TATATAAAACATGTACCCGCTATAAGTATTAATAAAAAGCTCAGACCAAAGAGGTCACCTTAATACTGAAAAAAAAATATATATATATATATATATACATATATATATATATATATTATATATATATATATAGAAATAAAGCTTTTGTTTTCTTTTTTTTTGATGATGACAAAATATAAGAAATATACAATTACCTTAATTTTTTGTGCCCACTTGGCTGAAAAATTACATTATGGACCCTTTTGTCACAATTGGTGGATTTCGAGACTATTAGAAAAAATGAATAATCCTTGTTACCTTTACCTTATTTATATCCAATTTAAACTTTTAGTAACTATAAATAAATATGATTTTATTATTAAGGTTGAGCAAATAGAATCTAAATTTGGACTGCATTCAAGTTATATTTGTAAGTATGACAGTGTTCAAAGTGAGATTTGTAAGACACCTAGTATAGCTATTACAATGATATATCAAAAAAATTTTTAAACAAAACCCAATTTTTTTGGGGCCAGAAGTTATGAATTATAATACATTTGAAGTTGTTCAAGAGTACCTTTATGAATTGCTATTTCAAGTTTTTAATTACTCTTTTAATAAATTATGAATATGGATACTTGAAGTTGGAAAATCAAATAATAAAAAGTTTAACTTTACTGGACCTAGGTTCAAGTCAGCATTTATTTACTTATATAATAAACAATGCAGTGTTTTTTTTCAAGAAGTAGAATTCAGTAAATGCAGAATTATAATATATACAGAGGGAGATAGGTTTAGGAAAATGTTTGTTGGTTGTGATCCAGATTCCATTTAGAATCAAGTTGATTATCTAAAACAGTTTAAGAGTTATCAGCTTTTTGGACTTAATAATCAATATGTTTAAAATCTTATTCAGAATATTCCTACCTGTTCATTATCAGATTGGACCAATAAACATTTGATAACATTAGTGTATAAATATCATCTCAAATGATGTACTAGCATACAGGTTAACTGGCAAAAACTGTTTCAGGACTAGGTATTATACAAACATACTATTATTGAATTATGATCAGCTTTATGAATCTTATATTTAAAAGAATATATAATAGGTGATCATGAATATCAAGCCTGAAAATCTTTGTTGAAACATGTTAGTTGTGTTGAAATAATATCATTTGAAAAAAATTAATCAAAAGTATGTATTATAATTTTTTAAATAATTGCAACAAAATTTATTTATTTATTTTATTTACACAGTTTAGATTTTGGTCAAGGTTAACAAATTCAAATGCAAACAAGGCTTCATTAATGACATTATATACTTTCAGATTTTTGAATTCAATACTAAAATATTTTAAAAATAATACTAAAACCTTTTGGCATTGTTTTATAGATTCTTTAGATGTTAATGCATATGGTAATAATAGCAAATGTTATATTTTATTAATTATTACAAATGCATTCTCATATGAAGAAATTAAAGAAAGCCTGAAGGTTAGTTTTAGAATTTTAAATATATTGTACAAGCATAAAATAACATGCAGAGGTGTTATTTGTGCTTGTACAGTATAAATAAAATATGCATTATATCTAATTACTTATTCTAAAATTGTACTATTTAAGTTTCAAATAATGCTATAATTGTTGCTAAAAAACATGTACAGTTTGTAGCCCTGAGAGGCGAATTAAAAACAAACCTGTAATCACATATAAAAAAATGTTAGCTAAAAAACAGAAACAAATTCAACAATTTTTGACAAACAAAATGAACATAAAAATGAGCTTATATAAAACTGATTTAGCAACTAATAAGCCTGTTTATTACTTAAAAGATTTTAAGAATATGCTTTGGAAATGGTTTTATGAAGAATATTTGGATAATATAAAACATTCAAGTTTTTATACACATTTACAAGAAAATTAATATATATATATGAAAATCTAGGTAAACTTTGTCAAATCTGTTCAAAATATGGATATGATACTTTTGATGAAATCAGTAATTATATTTGGAGTAATATAAAATGCTATCATATTCAGGTATGTAAATTAATATTATCAAACATTTTTCTTATTGGATACTATTATAGTAATAATAAAGAATGGTTTTGAAAAACTAAACTTATTTTTATTCTAGACTATATACTTGTAATTTCTAAGTTTATATTATGAAAATTCTAGATAATCAAAATTATACAAAAGAAATATCTTAAATTCATATTATTATTTCAATTATCTGAAATTTATTTATATTTGAAATTAAAAAAAAAAACTAAAGTAATCAGAATTAAATATGTAAATACATCCCTTTTATTAAAGCTCTAAGGATTTGAATTTGTTTTGAGTAGTAATAATATATGTTATAGGCATCATTATCCAACTTCAGACTCAATTTGTGAAATTAAATAAATAACTTATCAATATACTGTATTACTATTATTAATTATCTATCATTATAAATCAACTTATTAAATGCAGTTCTTAGGAAATTGTGAAAAATTAGCCTAGTTTTTAAACTGCGAATATGAATCACATTTTCATATCATGGCTAAAGGAACAATATCACACAATGTTTGCATTAATCATTGCTTATTGTATGCCTTCAGAGAATGTTGTCAATCTCATTCCTGCATCTGTAATGAATGTAATACCATATTTGAATTTTTTGCTGAATTAAAAGATAATTCTGAAGATGATATGCATGAGAAATTAGCCAAATTGCAAAATCAACTATGTTATTACATGGCTCACCAGATATGTAAAGTCTATCTGAATAAACAATTTAATGCAAACTTGCTAGATTTGAATAAAAATAAAACTCTAATTCTCATAAATTACAAGATGAAAATATTACCCAAATCAGCTTAAGAAACAAAGCAAGATTGGTTTGGAAAAAATGGATGGACACTCCATTCAGTATTAGTATATACAATCTATAGTAGTTCAACAAAATTAAAAGTTCAGGCATTTGATTACTAGTCTGCAGATATGTGACAGGATTTATGATTTACTGCTTCATCTCTTTATGCAGTAATAGAGATGTTAAAAAACAAAGTAAAGTCAGTAATTATTATGTCAGATAATGGTAGTTATTATCATAATGCAGATCTTATGATAATTATAGGCTATTGGCCAGAATGATATGGAATTCAAGTAGAAAAATAAGTATTTTTAAAGGCTGAAAAGGCTAAAACTATAATTGATTTACATCATGCTCAGGTAATAAAAATAATCTATTGCATTAAATTAGTACTTTTCTAACAAACCTGATTTATTCAGATATCTTATGCTATCAATTGCTATGTATATTTAGGATTTGATATTTCTGAAGAGCAGAATATAAAAAATGCTATTCAAAATATTCATGATACTTCTGTAACAAATTTAAAACTAAATCGAGATAAAGATTAGTTCTAAATATAAAATCTACAATAATGTATTTATATGATTTAGAGTATTCTTTAAGAATGTAACTTTTGATAAGTAATAAATAAAATTAAAATTATTTCTATTTTCAAAAATATCTACTGTTTATGTATCAATGTTTAAATACAATGATAGCAAATAATGAGAAAAATTCTTTGTCTGATAATTCGAATTGGTTCGAGTAGCAATAACCTATTACAGAAAAGTTTGCTGAATGTATTTTAGTACATGTTATTTCTAATATCAGAAATTGAAAGAATATTCATCTGCAGACTTAGAGAAATTATGTAAAAAGAACATTCATAAACCCAACTCAGAAATTTCTACTCATATTATGCCTTGTTCTGACTGAGAAATACCTATTTCAAATGCTTTACATAAGTTTTTATTTATTAAAATGCACCAAATATTTTATTTATTCTAATAATAATCAATTTTGAAATATTAGACCTTAATCTGACATGTCTCAATAAATGAAATTTGATAAAAGAACTAAGCCTGAGAGGAATAGAGGTAAATAAAAAAAAAAACAGAAGTATACTAGTATCAAATTTGGAGATCTAGCTAGAAAATGATATCAAAAATGCTAAACTAAGTAAGCAACTAGTACAACAGTTTTATTGCTAATTGTGCATTTATAATAAAATTATTTACAATATAGGTTGTGATATAAACCTTGGTGTTTTGGTAGAAAAAAACAATATAAATAATGACAGATATGGCAAATATGTCTAATTTAATACTTTAATAATAAATACTTACATAGATAATATTTAGTACGAATACTATAAATTTTCTATTACCATCAGTATAGACATTAAAAAAGAAGCAAAATATGAAAAAAAAAGAGTTGAAAAAAGAATTGCAAAAAAAATAAGAAAAATATTGGTGGAATATTTTTTAACTAGTGAAGCAAACAAAAGTGATCACTATATTATATAAGATATATATGAAGCTCTTTAGCAAAAGGTACTTGAGAGTGAAATTGAGGCTGAAGCTATTTCAAAAATATCTACTATTCAAAGCTAAATAGGCCATTATACTCATTAACATTGTAAACATGTAGCTCAAACAAATATAATTTAACAATTCTAAAATATAAATTGTAATATAAGTATTAGTAATAAAGTTTTATATAATATTGCATATTAAATAATAATTCATGTGCTTTAGAGACATTATGAATCCATCTTTTGATTTTATTTTTTTTAAAAAAAATGTTTTCTATTTAGAAAATAAGATCAAAAAATGTAGATCATAATGTCTCTAGTTCTAATATTATATTAAAATACACAAAATAATGAAATCACAGAGTAGTTTTTATCTCAGAATCTGGTGTTGTTGGCAAATAACTTTTATTATTATTATTAATTAAGCAAAAAAAAATCAAACCAGCATATTCTTAAAGTTTTGCATATACATTCTGTTATATATTTGGCATAAACAAGTTTTTCGTTGGTAGCATTATCTTATACCCAAAAACTGCCAACTGCTAGACTTTTCTTAAATGATCTACAAAATTTTATTTCAAATAATACTAATGATATTCATTGGTTTGAAGGCAGATTACAAATTAAGCAATTTTTAAAGCATAAGTGTGTTATAGATTTCTTTTTTGTATAATAAAAAATTTATTTATTATTAATCTTTTTAAACTCACTATTTTGAAATATACTTTACTATCATATACTACTTTTTCTGACAGACTTTTGAATTAAGAAACTGCTAAGATTAAAAAAAATTAAAAATAAATTAGAAAAAGAAAAAAATCTTATATTTAGTAAGTTTTAATTTTAAAAACAATACCTAAATAGCACTATATATTGTATTATATTGCATAAAATATTTTTAAAAAATAGTATCCTTTTGATTAAGATTTGAGTATTATTTACTATTTATTTTGAATAATATCTGAAGTATAACTATATATAATTTATTATTTTCATATAATATATACTCTATATATAGTATCTGATTTCTTATACAGTATTTGTGAATATTATTCAATTTAAAAAATAAAGGTTTTAAATAAGACTCTAGGTATTGTATACAGTATGATATAGTAAATTTCTATATATTATATTAAAAAGTTACAAATTAACTTGTTGAATTTGCCAAAGCCATAATACTAACAATTTATTTTATTTATGAAGTACAATTTTGATATATTTTTTCTAATATATATATTATTTGAATTTTTTTAAATAAATCATTTATTGTAACTACTATTATTATAGCATATTTATTAAATTAAGCCTAAATTTAAATACTAAATTTTATATTAATTAATTAGTACTAAATCTTAAAAAATTTTTTATAGTTATGAACTATATCAATAAATGTGTTTAATCTAAATTATAATTAATTTATTTAGGCATAAACAGATGAACATTTTCAAAAAAAAATTTAATTTATAATTATATTGTTATAACACAAAAGCAAAAAGAATATTTAATAAAGCTTAAATCATATAATAAGAGTCAGACTAAGCAATTTATAGCAACTAAAACTAAAAAAGTATTACAAAATATTGGATTTAAAAAATTTATAGCAATTGTAACAGATTATGAATCTAATTTAAAAGTTGTATATCAAATTATATATAATAAACATCTATTTATTTTAAATTTAAGATGCATATCATATGCAATTAACTTAATCACTTCAGATTTAGCAAAATTTAATTCTGTTAAAATAGTTATAGCTAATTGTAATACTATTTTGAAATTTTTTAATAGATTGCATATTGCAAATAGTTATTATAAAGAACAAATAGCAGTTATAAAAATAAAAAATAATAAAATTTAATTATATACTAAAATATAATAAGGTTTTTTATATATTATAACAGATTTATAATTCAATCAAATCTTGCATTTGATTAGATAAATAAATAATATTTATTATTTTTTATTATAAGAAAACAATTTGATAAATTTTTAAGTTTGTTAAAGCAGTTTTTAAGTTTGAGTTGATTATTTATATTATTATTAATCACTATATGCAGTATTTTTTAAAAATAAAATCTTCTTAATTAAAACTCAGTACTATGTATTATTTTTTTAGCTTAATTCTTGAATTGTATTCAAAGATATAACTACATAAATTTATTACTATTTATATAATATATTCTCAAATATAGTATCTACTTTTTCTAGTTTTTTATATAGTTACCTATAGGTATTATTCAATTTAAAAAATAAAGTTTATAATTTTATAGAAAAATATATACCAAATATTAATAAAATTTATAGAAAATATATAGAATATATAATATATATATATAATAATAAGATTTATATACTAAATTATATATAATTCTATTACTTTAATAAAAATTATTTTAAATATATACAAAATTTATTTTTAATATATATTAAATTATTCTTAATAAATATAAAATTATTTATAAATAATTACTATTAAATTATTATTCTTAATAGATATAAAATTATTATTTATAAAGAATTACTACTAAATTATATATTAATCTTAATA